GCGCATTCCTGCGTTCTCGAGTTGCTCTCTTGCGAAGGTGTGAGCCGCTTCTAACCGGTTCTGCAGTCGACGAACATAGTTCGGGCCAGGCAAAACCCCGTCGTCGTTATCAGGAGGGTGGCCAAACGTCAGTTCGGCTGGGGTGCGCAACTCACGACCTAACATTAGTAGCGCTGGGGAGCACGCAGTCGATTCCTGAACAGCCGACCTACATGCCATGAGGATAAACGGTAAGTGTGTGTCCCAATCTCTCTGGTGTTTTGAGGTAACGATAGCCAGCTGTTGTGCTAATGTTCTGTTAAATCTTTCCACCAGCCCATCACTCTGGGGATGAAGCGGAGTAGTGCGCGTCTTCTCCGCGCCTAACCGTCTACACAACTCTGAGAACACCCGTGACTCAAAGTTTTCTCCCCTGGTCGCTGTGTATAGACTGTGGCACCCCGAACCGACTGATTATTCCCCCTACCAATGCCTCAGCTACTGTTTTCTGCCTCCTGGTCTGGGAGAGCGTAAGCCTCTGGCCACTTGGTGAAGTAGTCCATAGCAGTTAGAATCCACCTGTTACCGCTGTCTGTGGTTGGAAACGGTCCAACTATGTCTACCCCCAGTCTCTCCATGGGCTCCCCTACTGGGAATTGTTGTAGGAGGGCGTGTGACTGACCTGGAGGTCCTTTCTTAGCAGCACACTCATCGCACTGCCTGCAAAAGTCCTCCACATCCCTCCTGTGCCTGGCCCAATAGAAGCCTTTACGTACGCGCTTTAACGTTTTGGAGACCCCAAAATGCCCTGCGCCTACTCCCCCGTGAAGCTGCTGTAACACGCTCCCTTGCAGCCTTTTGGGAACCACTACCTGCCACGTCATTTCTCCAGTAGCTGGCTTTTTCCACCCCCTCTGGAGCACTCCCTCAGCCACTCTAAGGACTGAGAATTTAGCCCAGAGTCCTTTGGTGACTGGTGATAGAGGGGCTACTTCCCCCCATGGCGGTCGTCTTCTCTCTTCCACCCACCCCAGCACAGGACGCAGCTCTGCGTCCTCCTCCTGGCGACGCCTCCACTCCCCGACGTCCCCAGCCTCAAGCTCCCGGCACTCTGTCACCCTCAGCTGACTCACCGTGGCGGTGACTCCCTCCTCCATGCACAGTTCCCTCTCTCGCTCCACCCGTTTGGCGCAGTACCCACAGCCGTCCTCAGCACACGGGCGGCGGGACAAGGCGTCTGCATTGCTGTGGCGAAGGCCGGCCCTGTGCTCCACCTGGAAGTCGTATGGTTGCAGCTCCTCCAACCAGCGGGCGATCTGACCCTCTGGCTCCTTGAAGGAGAGAAGCCACTGCAGGGCGGAGTGATCCGTCCGCACCACAAACGGCAGGCCCCCCAGGTAGTACTTGAAATGGCGTACTGCTGCCACGACAGCCAAAAGCTCCCTCCTTGTCACGCAGTAGCGTTTTTCAGCCTTATCAAAAGTTCTGCTGTAATAAGCTACTACGTGCTCCCCGTCAGAACCACGCTGAGCCAGCACGGCCCCCAAGCCCTCATTGCTTGCATCGGTGTCCAGAATAAACGGACGGTTTGGGTCTGGTGAGGACAGGACAGGGGCCTCCACCAGGGCACGTTTGAGGGCCTCAAACGCCCGCTGGTGCTCTTCGGTCCACTGAAAGACAGTGTCCTTCTTGAGAAGGTAGTTCAAAGGAGCTGCTATCCCCGCAAACCCTTTCACAAACCTACGATAGTAGGATGCCAGACCCAGGAAGCTCTTAACCTCTTTTTTTTTCCCTTGGAATTGGCCACCCCCTCACAGCCTCCACTTTGTCTGGCAACGTGCTGATACCCTCACCACCCAGCTGATGACCCAGGAACGCCAACTCCCTTTGCATGAAATGGCACTTTTCCGGGTGTAATTTTAGCCCCGCCCCCGAGATCCTCTCCAGCACTCGCCTAAGTGCCCCCAGTGCCCCCTCAAACGACGTGCCGTGTACCAATATGTCGTCTAGGTACACGACACACTCGTCTCTCGGAACCCCCGCCAGCACTCTGTCCATGAGCCTCTCAAAGGTGGCAGGAGCATTACAAAGCCCGAAGCACAGCACCTTGAACTGCCAATGGCCCCTATCCGTGGAGAAGGCCGTTTTTTTCACGTGCCCCAGGCGAGAGGGGCACCTGCCAGTAGCCACTGCGCAGATCAAGGGAAGAGAACCACGAGGACCCTCTGACGTGGTCTAGCGACTCATCGATCCTCGGTATGGGGTAAGAGTCTTTAATGGTGACAGAATTTAGGCCCCTGTAGTCCGCACAAAACCTAAGTTTACCCCCTTTCTTAGGCACCATGACGACCGGCGCGGACCACGGGCTATCTGATGGCTCAATGAAATCAGCCCGCAACATGTCAGCAATAGCTGTGGCTGCTGCTTCCCTCTTGGCAAGGGGAATGCGACGGGCCGAATTTTAATGGGTTGGTTGTCCCCAGTGTCGATGTCGTGCTGAACCAGGTGCGTTTGCCCTACCTCATCTTCGCCCCCTGCGCGAGAACCCGCTGTCGTTTCCCTGTTGACTGGAGAATCTGCCACACTCCCGCTGAATGTGGCCAGTCTGGCCACAACCCCAGCAGACAATGGAAGTTGAGCTGACACTGCGATGTTGTCTGGAGCCCTTCTCAATGACAAGCGAAGCGGTCTTGACTAACCCTCCCAACTCGTCGACCCACTCTGGTTTGGTGACCCCCAGCACCCCGGCCGCCGCTGCTCTCACCTCTGGTTGACTGGCAACCTCCACTCTCACTCCCTCACCCCAGATCAGCTCCCTCTTCCTGGCTATCTCCACTGCAGCCCGCAGAGATGCTGGGTCCGACATCTGCACATGCTTACCCAGTTCGGTGGGGGAGAGCGCTCTAATGAAACTGTCCCGTGCCAGCTCGTCTTGCACCCCAATCGACATATTTGCATAAGCCCCGCCTGGTCAGGCTCAGAATATCACTTGCCAACGCCTTTAATGATTCCCCCTGAAGTCTCTTTTTGTTATTCAGTTCAATCCGCAGCATGTTGGGCTGTGCATCGCTGCCGAAACGGCCCCCCAATGCCTCCACTAGCGCACCGTAGTCGCCCCTCTCGTCCGGGGCTAGCGTTAGCAGGCATTCCGACGCCTCCTCTGACAGGCACAGGGCAAGCTGTAACCCTTTCGTCTCGTCGGACCACCTCCCGGCTCTAGCCAACAACTCGAATTGAGTGAAAAAAACTTCCCATTTACCTTGTCCATTGAACTTTGGAAGTTTAGCCGCTACCGTGGCTAATGGCAATAGGGCGCTGCCATCTCTGTTTACATAAGGAGGTCCAGCCATTTCCGCACGCGGTGACGTCGATATCTCCGTCGCCGTGACGTCTGTTCTGGTCGAGCGGTTTGAAGGAAAACCCGCCCGTTCTGCCATCTTGCTGACTGACAATTTAACTCCCGCCATGTGGCTCTCCAGCTCTTCTACAACCGTCATCGCCTGACTCTCCCGACCGGGTACACCCGAGCCCACAACGGCCACTTTGTCCGACTCTTCTTTAACTTTCCGCCTCGCCCCGATCATCCTGACCGTAGATGCGAGTCACGCTAAAGCTAACCACGGCCTATACTGAAACAGCTAACTCGCCTAATCTCGATCTATCCCGTCGTTCGAAAGCACTTCTGACACCAATGTAATGACCCAGCTGGGTCATAAAGTAAAAGAGAGACGGGCACCAGGTGTACAGGCAGAACACAGGTTTATTCCTGAATGGGCTATTGTTCCGGCCACAACCCACGCCGCTAAACCTCGAACATACACAAATAGAACATGTCACATCAAGGGTCCCGAACAGAAGAGCGAGAGATGAGACCGTAACCCCTATTTAATCATTCCAAAATCCCGCGGGATTACCCATCATACCCCCCAACCTTTCCATCTGTCCTGGCATAATTAACCCCTGCTAGTACCCATGAGAACGATAACACATCCATGAACACAGAACACAATACAGGGTCGTTACAATATTATTATTATTATACGACACCGTACATGTAGTGATTTTCTTTGCCACTGGGGCTGCTGTCCCGGTTCCGTCCCTCTTTGCCGCCAAGGACCAGATTCATCTTTGACCTGTGACGTCTCGCCCAACGCGAGGTCATTTGTTTTAAAGTCGGCAAACGCTAAAATATCCGGCTAAACTCATTGATTATCGGATGAGTTATTAAAGATAAAACAATGGATAATCCACATATTAAATAGTTCATCGACTATATTTTGCATTTGATACTCCATTTTTTAAAAGAAAAATGTCTGAACTCAATTTAGCCCTCTCCAAAGAAGGCTGGTGGGTAGCTTTGGGCTAACGTTTTAGCTAGCTAGCTAAATTACACGTTCACTTTGCTAGCTAGCATAGCTTTGGCTTTTCAATTTGTGGATTAACGGTAACCTAGCTAGCTAGCTAGTTAACGTTAACTAAATTAACGCTTAATGTTAGATTTAGGATCTCACATACTATGATGGCTGTAATAATGTAGCTAAAAGGTTTGTACGCCAGATATGTGTAACTAGCTATGCTATTACATATCTGGAGTACAAACTGGTAACAGTAGCTAGCTAATGTTAGTAGCTAATAATGATTATTTTGGCAGTTGATGTTGCGAAGTTTGTCATTTATCTAGCAAATTTGCTGTCAATTAGCTTAGCATGAATAGCTTTGATATGCTAACTACAGGACAATTTTTGCTCATTTGAAGCTAGCTAGCTAAGTAGCTACCTAGCTTGCTACCTAAGTAAACAACTCTGACCACCGGTGTAGCTAGCTAGCTCTACATGACTGTAGCTAGCTAGCTGTTAATATCTCTTCAAAGTTGATCTGCTAGTCAGTTGTTAGCTAGTTAAGTACACTCAAGTCATATGATATCTTAGCGTGCTGGCTGGCTGGCTAGCTTCTGAATGTCGATGTGTTTGTTCACCGTAGCTAGCTAGAGTGTTTTTTTGTTTAACTACAGTACATTGGTTATGCCATGGTATGTGAGCCCTTTCTTTTGGTTTACCTCCTACACAGGTACCTTACAGATGAAGGAATAGAGGAGTTGAAAGCCACTTCTGAGAAACCCTCAGCTAATTACATTATTCGCATTGCACTTAATGTAAGTAGCAAGTATTTCTCACATCACTCTTCTAGTATACAGAAAACCGTTTTCTCTTCACCAGTGTAGATGTACATTAACTGGCCCTGGGGGGGTTGAGTAGAGAAGAGGAATGTTTGTCAGTGCTTACAGTCAATCTCATTTTCAAAAATCAAAATCGGCTTACAAAACAGGTTTGTGTAAGGCCGGGTTCTCTACAAGCTCACAAAACAGATTCCTCTACATTGCTTTTAATATTGCTTGTTGAATGTGTTGCCGCTATGTCAGTAAATCAAAGTCAGCCTAATATGGCTGCGTTCCCAATCTCCACCCTAGTGTGTACTCACACACTCCCCGTCCCTCCAGCCAATGCTTACGACGATCTAGTCTGAAATACACACTTCATTGGTATATAGAGCCTGAGACATTTGTGCACAATCGAGTAAATGTTCCTTACAAGCCAGAATGTTGATTTAAAATTACATGTAAGCTTACTCTACCAGTTGTTTGTGCGGTTTGTCCTTCTACTGCTCGAAATTTGAGACAAAATATCCACAGGAAGTATTGTTTAACTGACTTTTTAGAGTGCTCAAACCCCAGGATCTCTCGTCAATAGCTATTGAACCAAGCATGCCATGACAATGAAAATGGTATATTCTGAATCTTTTTTGAAGATTGAAATCCAAATATCCAATGTAAAACTTACTTTACCTCAGTACTGAACCACATACCTACCGGCTCTCTACAATGTCAGGTAAACAATACCTTCCTGTGGATATTTTGTCTCAGATTTCGAGCAGCCGAATGAGAAACCGGGAGAGTAAGTTTAAATGTAATTGTATTAAACATTCTGGCTTGTAAGGAACATTTACATGATTTTGCACACACGTCTGGCTGTCTATTCCAATTAATTGTATATTACAGCCTGATTTAATCAGACTTAACACCAATCCAATACTTTTTGAAGTCCATGACTGGGAGTGTGCACATGCACACTTTGGGAGACGTGTGGAGAGTCAGAATGCCAGTGTCTTCAAAACAGGTTTCTCTACACTGCTTTGAATTATGCTTATAGAGGTTTACTGGTGTCTCATTCAGTCAGCCTAATATGTTGGTTGGGCAAGTATTATTCCCCTTTTGTTAATCCCCTGTCTCTGTGACTGCCTCTGCAGAGTGACTTGAGGACTATTGGCAGGAAGTTTCTCCCTGCGGACGTCAACAGTGGCCGGGTGGAGAAGGTGAGGCGTTGTGTGTGTGTGTGTGTGTGTGTACTGGCGCAGATATGTGTACAAGAAAGGGTCAGAAAAACTGTCACACCTTATCATAATGACTCAGTGCATTAGTCAGCGGATGAGGTTAGTCAAGCTACACTCCTATGGTGAGTAACCATGCTGAAGACACGTCAACTTAGAAAGCTAATTCCTAGGCTTTAGCTCTATCGCAGCCTTGAAAACATGCACATGACCCGGGTTTGATACCATGGTGGTTACGCTGTCTTGTGCACGTTTGAGAAATACAGAAATGCACTACTTCCAAAGGCCACTAGATGTCTCTGTCACACCAGCTTTAAAATGCCTTAATTCCTTCCTTCAGCCATGGGGAGTTGCACTGAGTTCAACTGAGAAAATGCCACAGATGATGACGAGGGAGATAATTAATTAATTTGTATGTGAGCAAATAACCCACAGTCCTCCTAAAGCTCAGAATAAGATATTGCACTCCTTTCAGGTAAGTACAACTCCCACTCTCTGCATATCTCTAACAGGGAAAGAGCCATCAATACTGGTAATTCAGAATTTCTCAGTGTGTCTGCATTGAGTTATTTTTTTGGCTCTTTTCCCAGAGTAGGCAATCACTAGACTGCAATTAATATGTACTGCATTTCCAAAGAGTTGGTTGAATTTGGAGCTGAGGTAAACTATTTTAATTGGAAGGTGTAAACTGCTGTTGGATGCAAAGGAGTGAACTAGAACCAGAGCTGTGAAAAGACGCAACATCTGAGTAGTTGGATTTCTTTATGGCCCTGTAGCTTAGATGCCACTGCTCTGTTTACAGCATGGAACTGAAGAACAAACACACTGTTTACATAAACATTAAGGAAGGTCAGGTACATAACATTAAGGAAGGTCAGGTACATAACATTAAGGAAGGTCAGGTACATAACATTAAGGAAGGTCAGGTACATAACATTAAGGAAGGTCAGGTACATAAGCATTAAGGAAGGTCTGGTACATAGTCTGGTACATAAGTGTTAAGGAAGATCAGGTACATAAGCATTAAGGAAGGTCTGGTACATAGTCTGGTACATAAGTGTTAAGGAAGATCAGGTACATACGCGTAAAGGAAGGTCAGGTACATATGTGTTAAGGAAGGTCAGGTACATAAGCGTTAAGGAAGGTCAGGTACATAAGCGTTAAGGAAGGTCAGGTACATAAGCGTTAAGGAAGGTCAGGTATCGAAGCGTTAAGGAAGGTCTGGTACATAGTCATGGTACATGAAGTGTTAAGGAAGGTCAGGTACATAGCGTTAAGGAGGTCCGGTACATACCCGTTAAGGAGGTCATGTACATAAGCGTTAGGGAAGGTCAGGTACATAACGTTAAGGAAAGTCAGTACATAAGCTTTAAGGAAGGTCCGGTTCATAAGCGTTAAAGGAAGGTCAGGTACATAAGCGTTAAGAAGAATCCGGTGACATAAGCATTAAGGAGGTCAGTACATAAGCATTAAGGAGGTCTGGTAATAGTCCGGTACATAAGTGCTAAGGAAGATCAGTATCATACGCGTAAGGAAGGTCCAGGTACAATGTGTTTTTAAGGAAGGTCAGGTACTATGTGTTAAGGAATGTCAGGTACATAAAAAAAGCCCCCCCCCGTTAAGGAGGCAATGGTACATAAGCGTTAAGGAAGGTCAGGTACATAAGCGTTAAGGAAGGTCAGGTACATAAGCGTTAAGGAAGGTCAGGTACATAAGCGTTAAGGAAGGTCAGGTACATAAGCGTTAAGGAAGATCAGGTACATAAGCGTTAAGGAAGGTCAGGTACATAAGCGTTAAGGAAGGTCAGGTACATAAGCGTTAAGGAAGATCCGGTACATAAGCATTAAGGAAGGTCAGGTACATAAGCATTAAGGATCACGAGTGGCACAGTGGTCTAAGGCACTGCATCGCAGTGCTAGCTGTGCCACTAGAGATCCTGGTTCGAATCCAGGCTCTGTCGTAGCCAGCCGCAACCGGGAGACCCATGGGGCGGCGCACAATTGGCCCAGCGTCGTCCAGGGTAGGGGAGGGAATGGCCGCCAGGGTTGTGGGTTCGATTCCCACGGGGGGCCAGTATGAAAAATAAGAGCGTCTGCTAAATGACTAAAATGTAAAAATAAAAATTGAAGGTCGGGTACATAAACATTAAGGAAGGTCAGGTACATAACATTAAGGAAGGTCAGTTACATAAACATTAAGGAAGGTCAGGTACATAACATTAAGGAAGGTCAGTTACATAAGCGGTAAGGAAGGTCAGTTACATAAGCGGCAAGGAAGGTCAGGTACATACACATTAAGGAAGGTCAGGTACATACACGTTAAGGAAGGTCAGGTACATAAACATTAAGGAAGGTCAGGTACATAACATTAAGGAAGGTCGGGTACTTAAACATTAAGGAAGGTCAGGTACATAACATTAAGGAAGGTCAGGTACATAACATTAAGGAAGGTCAGGTACATAACATTAAGGAAAGTCAGTTACATAAGTGGTTAGGAAGGTCGGGTACATACACGTTAAGGAAGGTCAGGCACATAAGCATTAAGGAAGGTCAGGTACATGAGTGTTAAGGAAGGTCAGGTATTTAAAAGCAGTAAGGAAGATCAGGTAAATAAACACATTAAGGAAGGTTATGTACTTAAAAGTGTTAAGGAAGGTCAGGTACTTAAAAGCAGTGAGGTCAATTTGAGCGAGACTGCGAGGGTAGCTCAGTTCAATAAACTTTATTAATCCCAGAGGAGCAGTTATTGAAGCTGATGTAACCAGTTAGTGGTTACAAGGCTGATGTCTTTACTTCAACAAACCCTGGCATTAGGACACACCGTAGCAAAATGTTTTGCAACGGAAAACTAAAAGAAACATTTCTTATTGGTCAAGTCCAGGTCCCTCTCGCTTTGTCTGTCTTTGATCAGTTTGGTTCCTAATGAATACGGCCCCATCTCACTCTCTACGGTGCCCTAATTAACACGACCGCTGTATTTCTCTCCCCCTACCCGTCCCCGTCCCCTGTCCCCCGTCCCCGTCCCCCTACCCGTCCCCCTACCCGTCCCCCGTCCCCCTACCCGTCCCCCGTCCCCCTACCCGTCCCCCGTCCCCCTGTCCCCCTACCCGTCCCCCGTCCCCCCCCAGGTGGAGGGTCCGTGTGTGCTGCAGGTGCAGAAGGTGAGGAACGTGTCGGCCCCCAAGGACCATGAGGAGTCTCAGGGAGCCCCCAGGATGCTGCGGCTGCAGATGACAGACGGACACACCAACGCTGTGGGCCTCGAGTTCAAACACCTCTCCCAGATCAGGTAGAGAACCACTACTAGTTGAAACACCTCTCCCAGATCAGGTAGAGAACCACTACTAGTTGAAACACCTCTCCCAGATCAGGTAGAGAACCACCACTAGTTGAAACACCTCTCCCAGATCAGGTAGAGAACCACCACTAGTTGAAACACCTCTCCCAGATCAGGTAGAGAACCACTACTAGTTGAAACACCTCTCCCAGATCAGGTAGAGAACCACTACTAGTTGAAACACCCCCTCTCCCAGTCAGGTGAGAATCCACTCCATGTTGAAACACTCTCCCATCAGTAGAGAACCCACTACTAGTTGAAACACCTCTCCCAATCAGTAGAGCCCTACAGTTGAAACCACCTCTCCCAGATCAGGTAGAGACCACACTAGTTGAAACACCTCCCCAATCAGTAACCACACTAGTTGAAACCACCCTCCCAATATGGTAAAGTGACCCTACTGTTGAAAACCACCCTCTTGGCGATCAGGTAGAGACCACTATACTATGTTGAACCCTTCCCAGATCAGGTAAGACGCCACTACTAGTTTAAATAACCCTCTCCCAGATCAGGTAGAGAACCACTACTAGTTGAAACACCTCTCCCAGATCAGGTAGAGAACCACTACTAGTTGAAACACCTCTCCCTAGTCAGGTAGAGAACCACTACTAGTTGAAACACCTCTCCCAGATCAGGTAGAGAACCACTACTAGTTGAAACACCTCTCCCAGATCAGGTAGAGAACCACTACTAGTTGAAACACCTCTCCCAGATCAGGTAGAGAACCACTACTAGTTGAAACAACCTCTCCCAGATCAGGTAGAGAACCACTACTAGTTGAAACACCTCTCCAGATCAGGTAGAGACCACTACTAGTTGAAACACCTCTCCCAGATCAGGTAGAGAACCACTACTAGTTGAAACACCTCTCCCAGATCAGGTAGAGAACCACTACTAGTTGAAACACCTCTCCCAGATCAGGTAGAGAACCACTACTAGTTGAAACACCTCTCCCAGATCAGGTAGAGAACCACTACTAGTTTGAAACACCTCTCCCAGACTCAGGTCCCCTCAGGCAGGTATATCCCCACCACTAGTTGAAACAACCTCTCCCCGATCAGGTAGAGAACCACTACTAGTTGAAAACACCTCTTCCAGACCTGAATAGGCCCTTACCCCTCTCCCACGCTCCCTGGTAGAGCACCATACTAGTTGAAACAACCTCTCCCAGATCAGGTAGAGAACCACTACTAGTTGAAAAACACCTCTCCAGATCAGGTAGAGAACACTACTAGTTGAAACACCTTCCCCAGATCAGGTAGAGAACCACTGCTAGTTGAACACACCTCTCCAGATCAGGTAGAGAACCACTGACTAGTTGAAACACCCTCTCCCAGATCAGTAGAGAACCACTACTAGTTGAAACACCCTCCCCAGATCAGGTAGAGAACCACTACTAGTTGAAACACCTCTCCCAGATTCAGGTAGAGAACCACTACTAGTTTGAAAACAACCTCTCCCAGATCAGGTAGAGAACCACTACTAGTTGAAACACCCTCTCCCAGACAAGGTAAGAACCACTACTATTGAAACACCTCTCCAGATCAGGTAAGAACACTACTAGTTGAAACCCTCTCCCAGATCATGTAGAGACCCACACTAGTTGAAAACACCTTCTCCCAGATCAGTAGATAACCACCACTATTTGAAAACACTCTCCAATCAGGTTAAGAACCACACGACTATTGAAACACTCCCCAGATCAGGTAGAGAACGCACTAACTAGTTGCACACCTCTCCCAGATGCAGGTAGAGAACCACTACTAGTTGAAACACCTCTCCCAGATCAGATAGAGAACCACTACTAGTTCAAACACCTCTCCCAGATCAGATTGACGAAAAACTTGTGCCCAGAATTACATAGAACAATAAATTATAGGATCTCGATGAACTACTTGTTCAAACAGCTATAAGATCAAGTTGAGAACAGGCTTTTTAGGGTCTAGGCCAGGTTACTATAAATTACTTTGACAACTGTTAATGTAAAAAGTGCATTCTAAAATAAATCTGATTTTGATTGATCAGGCAGAGAACAGCTAGTTCAAACAAAGATCAGTTATAGAGATCACATACTTTAAACACCAGGCTAAGCTCAGAGGTAATTTGTATCAAGCTGCTTCGAGTAGTAGGGGTGTGCTGATTTTAAAGATCAGTTTTGTCGTTTAAATCACCATGAATAAGAGTAAATGGACAGGGTGAACTGACCTAGATCCTGCCACACTACGCTGAGATACTTGATAGTTAGCATCAAGGCTATCCCTTCTTTCTCGCAAAGCCAGAACATAGTTAGCATTCAAAGGCTATCCGCTTCTTCTCCAAAGGCACAGAACAAGTTAGCATCAAAGGCTATCCGCTTCTTCTCCAAAGGCACAGAACAAGTTAGCATCAAAGGCTATCCGCTTCTTCTCCAAAGGCACAGAACAAGTTAGCATCAAAGGCTAAGGCTATCCGCTTCTTCTATCTTTCGCCAAAGGCACGAACAAGTTAGTCATCACGGCTATCCGCTTCTTCTCCAAAGGCCAGAACAGTAGCATCAAAGCTATCCGCTTCTTCTTTTTCCCCTCCAAGGCACAGAACAGTTAGCATAAAGGCTATCCCTTCTTCTCCAAGGCACAGAACGAGTAGTCCTAAATGCTATCCGCTTCTTCTCCAAAGGCATCAAACACGTTGCAATCACAGGCTCTCCGCTTCTTCTCCAAGGCACAGAACAAGTTTAGCATCAAGGCGATCCGCCTTCTTCTCAAGGCCACAGAACAAGTTAGCATCAAAGGCTATCCCGCTCTTCCTCCAAAGGCCAAAACAAGTAGCATCAAAGGCCTTCCGCTTCTTCTCCAAAGCACGAAACAAGTTAGCATCAAAGGCTATCGCTTTCTTCTCCAAAGCCACAGACGAGTTAGCATCAAAGGCGAATCCTCTTCTTCTCCCAGGCACAGAAACGTAGTTAGTCATCAAGGCTAAATCCGCTTCTTCTCCAAAGGCACAGAACGAGTTAGCATCAAAGGCTATCCGCTTCTTCTCCAAAGGCACAGAACGAGTTAGCATCAAAGGCTATCCGCTTCTTCTCCAAAGGCACAGAACGAGTTAGCATCAAAGGCTATCCGCTTCTTCTCCAAAGGCACAGAACGAGTTAGCAATCAAAGGCTTATCCGCCTTCTCCAAGGCACGACAGTTACATCAAAGCTAATCCGCTCTTCTCCAAGGCAAGACACGTTAGCAATCAAAGGCTATCCGCTTCTTCTCCAAAGGCACAGAACAAGTTAGCATCAAAGGCTATCCGCTTCTTCTCCAAAGGCACAGAACCCAGTAAATCATTTGCTTTTCTGCACTGCAGAAAACTCCTGCATTCCAGCATACCAGGGATTCACTACATATATACAGTGAAGGGAAAAAAAGTATTTGATTCCCCTGCTGAGTTTGTAGTTTTCCCACTGACAGAGACATGATCAGTCTATAATTTTAATGGTAGTTTTTTTGAACAGTGTAGAGACAGAATACAACAAATAAATCAGAAAAACTCATGTCAAAAATGTTATCATTGCTTTGCATTTAAATGAGGGAATAAGTATTTGACCCTCTGCAAAACTGACTTCGTACTTGTTGGCACAAAAACCTTGTTGGCAATCACTGAGGTCAGACGTTTCTTAGTAGTTGGCCACCAGGTTTGCACACATCCAGGAGGGCTTTTGTGCCACTCCTCCTTTGCGATTCTTCTCTCAAGTCCCATTTGTTTAAAAAAGGGTTTTCGAAGCTGACATTTGGCACTCAAATCTTTCAGCTCCCTCCACAGTGTTCTATGATTAAGGTCTGGTGGACTGTCTAGGCCACTCCAGGACCTTAATGTGCTTCATCCTTGAGCCGCTCCTATTGGGTTGCCTTGGCCGTTGTTTTGGGTCATTGTCATGCGGAATACCCATCCACGACCCATTTTCAATGCCCTGACATAGAAATGGGAAGGATGTTCTCAAAAAAACCCAGAGTTACGGTACAAGAAATGGCCCCGTCCATCTCCTTTGATGCGGTTAAAAGTTGTCCTGCAACCCTTAGCATAAAAACACCCCCAACGCTAATTTTCCACTCCTTTAAAACTTGGGTTACCCAAAACACCCTTTTTTTTAAAGGGGGCCAAAACCCGAAATATTTGTTTTTGGACGGGGAAAATTGATTAAAGGGGTTTTTATACAAGGGAAAAAAATTTGGTTTGCTTTTTTATTTGCCCCTAAAACGACCCCTTTTTTTTTAAAGGGAGGTTTTTTTAAAGGGAAAAGTAAACTTTTTTCCAAAAAATGCAAAAATTTATAATTTTCTTTTTTTGGGGATTTTTTTTGCCCCTTTTCAAAAAAAATTTTAAAAAACCCCCTTTTTGGCAATCCAGTCAACCGGTTTTTCCAATTCCCCTTTAAGGGGGGGATTTTACTTCTTTTGCTCTTCCCCCAAATCATGTTTCATGACTTGAATATTTCCCCCCCCCCAAAAATTTTTTTGGGGGATTAAAGGGGGGGCCCCATACCCCGCCCTAATTCTTCTTACCCTCCTTTCCCTTCCTGTTTTTGGCTTGTGGGGAAATCCCTCCCCCCTTTTAACCCCCTTTAAAAAGGGGGGTTCCCCGTTTGCAAACCCCCTCCATTCCCTTTGTCTATTCCCCCCCTTTTGGGAAAAAAAACACCCCCCAAAACCCCTTCCTTTTTACGGTGGGGAGGGTTCCCCCCTCCTCCCCCAAAAACCACTTTAGTTATGCCAAACCCCATTTTTCTCTTTCCAAACACTTTCCCCCTTTCCCTAATTTCGTTTTTTCAAATTCCGGGCATTTTAGGGGCTTTTTTAAAGGGGGACCTCCACCATTTCATTTGGATATGTGTTATTTTTTTTTTTCCCCTTGCCCCCCCTTAGATATTGCCAATCCCCTTTTAAATTCTCTTTCCCCCCCCTTTCTATGACTTTTAAACCCCCTTTAATCCGGGGGCCAACCGGGGTTTGGGTTATTTTTTTTCCCCTTTTCAATAATGACCAACTGTTGTCACCTTCTCCCAACCCGGGGGTTTTCCTTAGTTTGGTTAGGTCTAAAATTTTTTTCCCTCCCCCCCTTTTTTTGGTTGGCCGGGGGGTTTTAATCTTTGTTTCTTGGCCCGGTTTTTTTTTTATTCCCCCTCTTTCCCCCCCCCAAAATTGCCCCATTAAATTTTTACCTTTGCCCTCCAAAATTTCATTAAAGGGGGAAATCTTTCTCCCTCAAAAAAATCAATTTAACATTTTTGCCCTTAAACGGATTTTTTTTTTAAATTTCCCTTCAATAAGACAAAATAACTTATCGCTCTTCTTCAGGCAACCGAAACCAACATGGTTTCAAATTTCCCTCAAGTAATCCTGCTATGTCTTAAAGCACCACCCTAAATACCTCCTGTTTCACTAAGAAACTTGCTTCCTCATCCAAATTCCTCTATTCAGTGAAGGGAAAAAATATTTGATTCCCCTGCTGGATTTTGTAGTTTTCCACTGACAAAGACATGATCAGTCTATAATTTTAATGGTAGTTTTATTTGAACAGGAGAGACAGAATAACAACAACAAAATCCAAAAACATTCAAAAATATTATATTGATTTCATTTATGAGGGAAATAAGTATTTGACCCCTCTCAATCAAAAGATGTCTGCTCCAGGTGCTTTTACAGGTAATGAGCTGAGATTAGGAGCCCTTTTAAAGGGGGCTCCTAATCTCAGTTTGTTACCTGAAAAGCACCTGTCCACACAATCAATCAATCAATTCCAACTCTCCACATGGCAAGCCAAGAGCTACTCCAATGTCGGACAAATTTAGACCTACAAGTGGAATGGGCTACAAGACCATCGCAGCACTTGGGAAAGGTGACAATAGTTGGTGCGAATATCCAAATGGGAATAAACACAATAACTGTCATTTCCTCGGCCTGGATCCATGCAAGATCTTTCACCTCGGGAGTTGCAAGATATGGGAACGTGAGGAATCACCCAGAACTACAGAGGACTTGCATGATCTAGCAGCTGGACCATAGTCACCAAGAAAAATGAACACACCATGCTGTGAATGGACTGAATCCTTTGCGCGCCACATGGGTCCCCTGCTCAAGGAACATTACGGCCGTCTGAAGTTGCCAGAAATCTGAATGATAGGGAATGGGTTAAGGGTAAGACCAAAATGGCTCTTTGCATCACTCAACTCGCGTGGAGGGAAGTGCTGCCTATGAACCCAGGACCTCCCACCGCAACTGGAGTTGGAAACTTTCTTGGGGTTTTTTTCTGACTAAGGTCCAGCCTTAACCATCAAACCCGGTCTGGAGGGGCCATGTACCGTCAATCTGGGTGAGAACTCCCTAGTCCTTCAGGCCAGGAAAATGGGGTTTGGGTGGTATTCCAGTTACATGACCCAAACACACGGCCAGGCAACAAGGACGCTCAAGAAGCACATTGGTCCTGGAGTGGCCCCTTCTCCAACTTATCCCATGAAATCTGGAGGAGCTGAAGGTTCGTTGCCAACGCAGTTAACTTATTTTTTTTGAAGATTCTCAAGAGGAGTGGAAAAAACCTCCTGAGAGTGCAAAAACTGGTGGTCCAACTCATAAACGTCTACCTCAGTGATTGCCAAAAGGGTCTTTCTGTAGAGGTCAAATACTTATTCCCCATTAAATGCAATCAATTATAATTTGAAGCGTTCAATTTTTTTATTGTCCATCAATAACATTAATTTGATATTTCTTTATGCACGTAAATAACACATTTAAAAATTCCTCATAACTAATGAGCGCTCCCTCTTCCAATAACTGTTCTATTGACCTACATCTGTACTCCTTAAT